TTTAGATAGGATCTTATTTTATATTTTCAGATTATTGCTTTCTACTTGTGTATTTATTTTCTATTTTATCAAATACAGACAAATACCCAACGAATAATTATACTAAGTATATTTTAAACCAGTACAGTGCTGGAATTTACTTGTAACTTTTAGTCGATTTTCAACTTGATTCCCGCTCCTTACCTCACCAACCAGCGTGCAGTCTAAATACCGATCAGTATAACGAGGTAAAAGATAGGTACCGAACTGAAAATCGGCTCAAAGTTGTAAATAAATTCTAGCCTATTTTAAACTTATGAACAAAAATAAAATAAATAATAACAGTAAAATAAAACCATCGTAAAAGTGTGACTTTAATACATTTTTGCTTTTAGCATTATTAAATCACAAGAGATATCTCGTATTAGATTTTATACATATTGTGTTTGTACAATTCAGTCGTGACTTTAATCAATTTCAATCGTTATTGCTATAGTGCGAAGTGGCATTGCATATGATTATGCTTTGATGGCATGTTTTGATATCGTTAATGAACTGGCATTGAAACGATTAAAATCAATTTTACGTAAATCATGATTTTTTATACGTATATACATATATAAAACTGCTTTTATTTTTTTTACATATTGATTTTACACTATATTGTTTAAATATTATAAATGTAAAAAGATTATCATGTATATATATACAGGGTGTTCAGCGTAACTGTCCGCACGATTTTTTAGACACTTCCGACAATTAAAAAAAAGGTCGTAAGGTGATTATCCATCTATTTTATGCGGGCTACAACATGCGATAAAAAAATTAAAAAAAAAATTTTTTTTAATGAAAAAAGTCAAGGTTATCTTGAATTTTTTAAATAGCACCATACAATTTTTTTCCATAATATTGTAGGGATCTTCAAAACGAATTCAACGTACTATCGAGATTGTAACTTTCATTGATGTGTTTTATTGATTTTATTACATAATATTATCACAAATACCCATTAATAAAAGAATACTTATGTGAACTTATTAACTTATGTGAACAAATTTTATTGATTTTATTGATATTTAACCTTTATAAAGGGCCGGACTGGATATTATAGTGGCCAGCGGAAAACTCGTTGACTCCTCGTGACAGAAAAATCAGCTATTACGAGGATCGTCTGAAAAGTTTTGAGCCTAACATAGAAACAAGTAATTTTTCGGTCAAATTTAATTTTATTTTTCCATATAGTCTCCTTTTAAGTCGATACATTTTTTCCAGCGATGCTCCTACCCCTTTAATCCATTCAAATAATACTGAGCGTCTTGCTTTGCAAAATAGACGTCTATGGATGCGATAACCTCCTCGTTCGATGAAAATTTCTGTCCTCCGAGCCAAACTTTGAGCCTAGGAAATAGAAAAAAATCGCTGGGGGCCAGATCTGGTGAATACGGTGGATGGTCAATTAATTCGAACCGCAATTCGTGAATTTTTGCCATAGCGACCGCCGAAGTGTGAGACGATGCGTTATCTTGATGGAACAGCACTTTCTTCTTTTTCAAATGCGGTCGTTTTTTCTCAATTTCTGCCTTCAGCTTGTTAAGCAATGATGCGTAGTATGTCCCTGTTATTGTTTTACCTTTTTCAAGATAGTCGATCAACACAATTCCATGACTGTCCCAAAAAAACAGTCACCATCACCTTTCCCGCCGATAAAACCGTCTTCGCTTTCTTCGGAGCAGGTTCACCCTTCGCAGTACACTGTTTTGATTGTTCTTTCGTTTCAGGAATGAAGTGGTGGATTCAAGTTTCATCAACCGTTATTAATCGACGCAAAAAATCCGACTCGTTTCGCTACCGCTCCAACAGGGCCTTAGAAATGTTCATTCGAATGCGTTTTTGATCCAGAGTGAGCAAGCGCGGTACCCAACACGCGGTTAACTTACGCATGCCTAATTCTTTAGTCAATATATGACAAACACGTTCTTTTGATATGCCAACAACCTCTGCTATCTCCTTAATCTTAACTCGACGGTTGTCCATTATCATTTGATGAATTTCTTCGATGTTATCGGTGGTGGTGGCAGTTGTTGGCCGTCCCGAACGCTCATCATCAGCTAAGCTGGTACGACCACGTTTAAATACAGCTACCCATCTTTTCACGGTGGCAAATGATGGGGCAGAGTCCCCGTAAACAGCGTCCAACTCGG